TACTAATAGGAATAAGAAGAAATGCTTCCTAGGTAATTTTATTGTCTTGTAAACTTAATAGTCTGACAAGTTATGAGCAAATAAATGGGCATAAAAGAAGCAATACCAAAGTTGGGCATTCTATCAGGGTGGAGCTACAACGGATTCGGACGAATTCAGTGTCTTTAGTGGGCTGGACTTGTACATATCGTTGATGGGCTCATTTTTCATCTGAGCCCAATTTACTTGGTTCGAGGTCGGGCCTAGAGTCTGGGATGAAAGTTAGACCCCAATTTATAAATAGCTAATTTACAACTGATAATTGAACAATAGTCATGGTTTCAAAAGTAATCGAAATTTAACTGTTTTTTTTATGTAAAGATAAAATCTGAACAAAAACGTCCTAAGAAATCAAGAAATATTCTAGCATAATATGTTGGAGTTCGAATTTTTTATATATGAGCTTCTAGCATAATGTGTTGGAATTTCATAATGTACTGGAGTTCCAACATAATATGTGGGAAATTTACATGCAGGAGCTCCATAATCCCACATATTATGTTGGAATTTGCTGTATGTTGGAGTTCCAACATAATATGTTGGAAGTTTATATGCAGGTGCTCCATAATCCCGCATATTACGCTGGAACTTTTCATGTTTCAACAAACATAGTGACTATTTTTCGATTACCGATCGGAAAACTGGCTAGCTCGTGCTATTTTCACCAATTTATATAGGTAAAAATAGCACGTGCTACTCATTTTTCGGATCGGTAATTGAAAAATAGGCAGCGTTTGTAAAATCATTGAAAAATATCCACTATTTTGCTGCAACACGGAAAGTTCCAGCATAATATACTGGAGATTGGTGCACCTGTGTATGAACTTCCAGCATATTATGCTGGAACTCCAACACCCAGAAAGTTCCAGCATAATATACTGGAGATTGGTGCACCTGTGTATGAACTTCCAGCATATTATGCTGGAACTCCAACACCCAGAAAGTTCCAGCATAATATACTGGAGATTGGTGCACCTGTGTATGAACTTCCAGCATATTATGCTGGAACTCCAACACCCAGAAAGTTCCAGCATAATATACTGGAGATTGGTGCACCTGTGTATGAACTTCCAGCATATTATGCTGGAACTCCAACACCCAGAAAGTTTCAGCATAATATACTGGAGATTGGAGTACATGTGTATGAACTTCTAATATATTATGCTGGAACTCCAGTATATTATACTGGAATTCCTGTATATTATGTTGGGAGTTTTTTCGGATTTTGAACAATGTTTTCGTTCAGATTTATCTTTACATAAAAAGTGGCTAAATTTCGATTTTTTTTAAAATTGTAACTATTTTTCAATTAACACTTATAAATCTGGCTATTTTTAAATTTCACCCTTTATATAGTTCCCCAATTTTGGATAAGGCTCACCTCACCATCCCTCAAGTTCTTCCGGTATACCTTTAATTTTATAATACTTGTCCCTTTTTAAATTTGATGGTCAATATTTATTTAACTAAAACAGCCCCTCAAACCATGGTTAACTAAAAAATCGTTCCCTGGATCAGTACCAATTTGGCAAAGCATCCGAAAATACTGCTAAGAAAATCGTTCTTGTAGGGGAAAAAATATTTCTTACCATGAAAAGCATGGAGAAACGAAGCTTTTTTAACCATTGCAAACAAAAGTATTAGAAAAAAGTAAGAGTAGCTCGAAATTTATTGTAGTTCGATGTTACGATCGCTTCAACTTTGTATGCAACAAAAGTTTTCTGGTACCATGAAAAGTAAACTCTATATGATGTGGAGGGTGCAATAGTACACTAATAAATTTTTTAACCACTTTGACAGATTGAAGAGTTGCTGCAATTATGAAAATGGTACATTGGTGAAGTCTGCAAATCACTTTTCAGTGTCACGAGAGTTAATAAGCATGAAAAAATAGAAGGGCTAATCAAGTAGACATCTTTTATTTCGTATAAACTGTTTCATGAATTAGTTAATAAAAAAGTTTTAGTTGTGTCGAACTTCTAATATGTGTGCGCGTGATTGAAAAGTGACCTGCACCTATGAAGTATCTTCGCCTAAATTAAGGGTGTATTGTGGGCCGAGCCTAGTCCGGGACCGGCCCGGAATCGCGTGAAATGGGCCGGTCTCAAGCGGTCCAAAAAGCCCATAGTGGGCGGTCTTCACCAAAAAGCCCGTGAGCCCGGGACCGGCAGGCGGGCCTGGGCCGATTCAACCGGGTCAAACGGGCCCAACGACTATTTTTTTAATTTTTTTTTTAAAAGGGCCAACGGTCAGAATTTTAAAATGTCGCAGGGACTTGAATCAGAGAATCCCGACGGCTCCTTCGATGTTTTGGAATGGTGGAAGGACAAACAAAAACACTATCCAATTCTTTCAAGGATGGTCCGAGATATTTTAAGTGTTCAAGCTTCAACAGTGGCATCGGAGAGCGCTTTCAGTCAAGCGAGACTCTAAATCGGTGATCATAGAGCGCCTATGAGGGAGAGTTTGGAAAAATCAGTACTCTTTGGATCCGTTCGGAAAGAAGAAATTTTGGACTTGTAGAATCACAACCGGAGATAGACAAAGCTTATGAAGAAATGCTAGCAGAACTTGCGCAGGATGCTGCTTCGCCCGGAAGCGGTGATGAACAAGCTTCACCACCACCAACGGGAAATTCCTCCAGACCTTGAAGGATTTATGAGATTTGCTAGAGATAATACATAGAGTAATATGTAACTTGTATTTTGGCACATCTTCCTTAGTTTTTTTTTTCTTTTTAATGGTGGTATTAGTACCATGTTGTGCTCATTCCATTGGGGGGAGGAAGACTAAGAAAGATATTGCCATTTTTTGTTTATGTCGTAATAATAAAAATTATAAGACATCCCCTTGAATATTTCTTTGCAATTTATTTTGTGTTTAAATTTGATATAGTATATATATTTTATATTTAATACATATATATATATATATATATATATATATAAGANAAAAAAAATTCAAAAAAAAATAGCCCGGAACGAAAAAGCTCGTTTAGGCCCGTGGGCCCGACCCATTTAGCCCGGGACCATGTGGGCTTAGGCCCACAGTGAGCCGGTTCCACCCATTTGGACCGTTAGGTCCGAGACCGCCAAAGCCCGGGCCCGTTTGGCCCGGCCCATTTCGCCCATTTAGACCCGGGCCCGTCCCAGAATACAGCCTTAGCCTAAATTGATGATGCATATAAGGAAAGGACAAGTCAGATAATTAGAGGGAGTTAACCATGGTTTGAGGGACTGTATACGGTTAAAGCTGGGCCTACCCGATTTTACTATCTGATCGAGGCCAGGGAATTGAATCGAAGGTTAGCCTCGTAATGGATCGGACCAGAGCACGAGGACAAGGTATCGAGTTTGGGAATTGAGGTGCCTGTCGAGATCGAGGCCAGCAGTGATCGAGACCGAATATGACAAACTTCGAGCAAAGCGCAATAATGAAAAAGCGATATATCTGTAACCGATCGAAGATCATGTCGGAAATGCAGGAACAGATCAAATCAAGGGCGGTTAGTTAGTTAATCATGGGATTTGCTTCCGTAATTAGAATTCTACCATAACTAGGATTCCTCTGCTATATAAAGAAGGGTCTAATCATTTTGTAACTATCTTATATTCACGCATATCAAAGCAATACAACACTTTCTAGCTTATATTCTTGTTCATCAGCTTGTTATATCTTTTACTATTCTCGCATCAACCTGTTCGAGGGTATTCATGCTCGAGAGCTTAATTACATTGTAACACCGGTTTGCGTTATTTTATTGTCAATTCTCATTGTTAATCTTTACATTTATCAATTAGTATTAGGTGAAATCACGTATCCTTAAAACCACATTATAAATTTAATTATTTTTCAATTTTTAGGATAAACATGGACTGTTTTAGTTAAATAAATATTGACGCATTATATTTAAGAAGGAACGGGTGTCATCAAATTAACGCTACATCGGAAGAACTTGACGGAACGTGTACAGGAGGTGAGCCGGATCCCCCAATTTTTATCCGAGCCCAATTTATATATAGTTCAATTGCCGGGCATCAACTCAATCGATTGGTTGAACGAATTCAGGCACTGGTTTTTCAAAATTTTAAAATAAAACTTTAATATATATAAGTGCTATACGTCAATAGTTACAGTGTTCCAAAAAACAAAAAAGAAGTATCCTATTTAAAAATTTTGTTTTTTTTAAATAATACTTAATAAGGTCAAACAAATTAGAATAAAGCAATAAACAATTATTACATCAAATGCATTATGATTGATTGTAGAATTCATTACTCAGATGATCACTGAACTTTGCAAAATGATGGAATAAAGTCACTTAACTTTAGTTTGTAATAGGAAAATCACTCAACTTTTCCTAATGCACACAGATAGTCACTCAACCGGAAATATTAAATTTTCAGGTGGAAAAAAATGACATGGCAATTTACATGGAATTTTTTATTATTTGACCATGTAACACCCAAACAAAACATAAAAACTTTGCCCATACACCCAAACGACCTGACCCGACCTGCGGAATAAAAACCCATCCACTTAATAAAATAAATACCAAAGACTAACCAAACCCTCTGACCATTATTTTACGCTACTCTCTTATTCTCCATTGTTTTACTACCATTATTTCACGCCACTCTCTTTTTCTCCATTGTTTCACTGTAGTCCAAAATTGAGCTTTTCAACATAGAATTGGAAGGTGCATAAACTTCTATAGTAATTTTGCACAAATTTAGTAACTTTAAAAGTTAAAACAAATTACTTGGAGGGGGTGTAATCGGCTTGACAACTGCTCTCATTAAGCAACTACTTTTAATGTAAAATTACACACGTTATCAAATGGGAGAACGAATGTTGCATAAATAAGCAACACCACTTAATAAAAAATTATTTCTTACAAAGCAACACATGGAGACAAACTAGTGAGTTAAGGTCATAAGATCACAAGTTCAAACAGAAAATAACACATAATAAACTGTGTCACATTAGTAGTTTGCACAAAAACAAAAAGGAAACTTGATAGTTCACTTCCGAGACTTCTTTAAGACTTTGCAAACATAGTCCTTCGTGGCTCTTGAAAATCGTGCCTCTTTTCGAAATACCTTCAGTACTTTGCACAAGCACAAACATCTAAAGGGACACCCTTTCTGCTTGCATCGAGAAACACATCTTTTTGAGTCATTGGGTTTGAAATGTAATTGTCTCCTATTCTTAATCCCCCAGTTCATACAAGCCTCCTTAAACTGTTTTAAAAAACCCAAACTTCATTCCTAGTTTTAATATAGGGTTGTCCATTTCTTCGTTATACTCCTCATATGCGACCTCTACCTCATCTTCTTTATCAGTATCTCGCTCTAGCAATTCATCAGATTCAGCATAATCTGAATCACCATTTTCATTTATTTCTGGAATTAGGATGCCAACAGATAGTCCAATTCTATTATTTCCATCATTGGTATTTTTTTTGTCTTACTTTTGCCTTCTTAAAATAATTCTCAACAGTAATATCGTGATTATCAGCAGTAATATCATGATAATCGTCATCATCTTCCTCTAGGTTATAGTCTGGATCATTGAAATCTTGATCATCTAACCGATTTTCATCCTCACTTTATTCATCACCATCGACACCATTACCCTTCCTCTCAGCCACCGTATTACTCAAAACACTATTTTCCTGAAATACCCCATCCAGAATTTCCAATCACTCCTACAGAATATACAAAATAAAGAGTTCAAAAATAGTTCAACCATCGACAAATAATTATTACTCTAACACACTTGCATGTTAAAACCCTAAACTATAATCAATCCTAATTCCAAAAGAATCAGAAACCCATATATATAATAAACCCTAAACCCCACATGTATAAAAATTTATAACACCTAAAGTATTAAAAAACACTAACCATGTTGTTCTTCGATAACAACAGATACCAATTAAAAAAATTATCATATAAAGACAAAAAAATAATATTTATTAAGAATACCTCGTTTTCTCTCAGCACTGTGCAATACCCTCGGCATAGTGGTTCGAATCCACATTAAACAATGGTTGTGGAGAAGAGATGGATTCCTTCTTTTGAGATTTTTTATATTTTCTACTTGATGCACCTTCCAATTCCATGTTGAAAAGCTCAAATTTGAACTATAGTGAAACCATGGAGAAGAAGAGAGTAGCATGAAATGGTCAGAGCGTTTGGTTAGTCCTTTGTGTTTATTTTATTAAGTGGGTGGGTTTTTATGCACGTCGGGTCGTTTGGGTTTATGGGCAGAGTTTTAATATTTTGTTTGGGTGTTATTTGGTCAAATAATAAAAAATTCCATGTAGACTGCCATGTCATCTTTTTCCACCGAAAAATTTGATATTTCTGGTTGAGTGACTATCTTTGTGCATTAGGAAAAGTTGAGTGATTTTCCTGTTACAAACTAAAGTTAAGTGACTTTGTTCCATCATTTTGCAAAGTTCAGTGATCATATGAGTAATGAACTCATTGATTCATTGATTGTAGGTCTAAAATCCATTCCCAGACTATTTTGCATTAGTATTTCATATATAAATGTGTCTGAATGAGTTTCATTCTTTGTTCTTTTTGTGGCTGAGAAAAAAATTTCATTAACTGGTTGAGAGAAATTTATGTATGTCCTCTCATTTTGCACAACAGAAGAAAAACGCAATTGACTGATTCAGAGGAAAGAAAAAAAGAAAGAAAAAATTAAAATCTATTTTCAACATTCTTCTAAACTAATTAATCTTTCTCCCTCTCCCCAAAACACCATATCTTGTCATCATTTATCAATAAGTTAATTACTTGATCAGATTTTCACATACATATTCTGCATTAAATCAAGAAGTTGTAGAAGAGAAAAAGAAGAAACAGACATTATTGGACTGACTATAACATGCCAAGCAAGCTAAAGAAGGCAATTGCTGCAGTGAAAGATCAAACAAGCATTAGCATTGCCAAAGTTTCCAGCAACACTTCCGCAACACTTGAAGTCGCTGTCCTAAAAGCCACTACACACGACGATGTCCCTGTGGATGAACGTTACATACACGAGGTTGTCCAATTAGTCTCTTCCAACAAATCCTACGCGGCTGCATGTGCTCGTGCCATCAGCAAACGCATTGGTCGTACTAGGAATTGGATCGTTGCCCTAAAATCCTTAATGCTTGTCCTAAGAATTTTCCAAGATGGCGATCCTTATTTCCCTCGAGAAGTTCTCCATGCAATGAAAAAAGGTGCCAAAATTCTCAACCTTTCTAATTTTCGCGATGATTCCAATTCTAGCCCTTGGGATTTCACTGCCTTCATTAGAACCTTTGCACTTTATCTTGACGAGCGTTTAGATTGTTTTCTCATTGGGAAGCTACAAAGGCGGTATAATTATAAAGAAAGGGAAAATTCCCGCCATTTTAGGACTAATAGTAGTAGTAGTAGCAGTAGTAGTATCAGGAGGAGGACTAATGAGGCAATACGCGAAATGAAACCAGCAATGCTACTTGACAAGATTTCATATTGGCAAAGATTGCTTGAAAGGGCAATTGCTATACGCCCAACTGGTGCGGCCAAGACCAATTGTCTAGTGCAAGTTGCTTTGTACGCTGTGGTACAAGAAAGTTTTGATCTTTATAAGGATGTTTCAGATGGGCTAACTCTTGTTCTTGATAGTTTCTTCCATTTACCATACCAATTTTGTGTAAATGCCTTCCAAACATGTGTTAAAGCCGCGAAGCAATTTGAGGAAATTAACTCTTTTTACTCCTTCTGTAAAAGCATTGGTGTTGGTAGGACATCAGAATATCCCAGTGTGCAAAATATATCCGAGGAGTTAATTGAGTCATTGCAAGAATTTCTCAAAGATCAATCTTCATTTCCAGTGAAATCTTCTGGACAACTGCTTCTTCAAAAACCAGGTTCAATGAAGTCGTCAAAAAGTAGGCATGATAGTTATGGTGGACAATCCGAATTCTCAGTTGCAACGACTGAGCCATATTCGGAAAGGAGTACTACCACTTCAGGGATTGGTTCACCTTGTAGTTCATTAGAAGAGCTAATACGTGCAACGGAAACAGGGAGGAAGCACCCCTCCATTTCAATTGATTTGGAGGCCTATTCGGATATTCAGTTTAGGAAGCAATGTAGTGAAGATGTGTGTGATACAGGTTCTGCTAGGTCATTGCCAGTGTCCATGATTGATCTTGTTTCCTCCTCCAACTGGCCAGGAGATGACGAATATGAAAACAATGAAGTAAAAAGGCAAAATCAGCAGCCTGTAGTAGAAAAAGAGAGAGAAGTAAACAAAGATGAAGCTAAACAAGAACAGCCAAAGGAGAAAGAGAAGTCATTATTAGATTCAAGCTCAGCAAAAGGATGGGAAGCTGTACTAAATGAGGCTTTAACGCCATCGCCATCTCCATCTTTTGGCGCCTTTCCAGAACAACAAGAACCTAAACAGATGTCAAGAACTGAAGCAAACGCGTCGTCTGTTGAGGCTACTTCAAACAATGGCTGGGATTTGGGACTATTTGAAGCAACCCCACAAACAAAATCAGAACAACCTATGCCTAATACTACTGCTAACAAAGTTGAGAGCTTCAACACATTGCCATTGCCATCTTTCAATGCCTTCCAAGAAAGGCAAGAACAAGAGCAATTGTCGAGAATTGGTGCAAATGTGTTATCTACTGAGGTTTCTTCATGCAATAATGGTTGGGATTTGGCACTATTTGAAGCAACCCCACAAACAAAAGCATCACAAACCCTGCCTATTACCTCTAACAACGTTAATAGCTTCAACTCTTCAACTTTGGATGAATTGTATAATAAGAATCCAATGTCATTGTTTCCAAATAGTGACCTAAGTTCACTACCAATACCTAATATGAACGGCAATATCTATGATCAAAATCCATCCACCACCTTCTTGCCAGCTTCAAATAATCAAATTCCAGTAATGCCACAACCCCACCATTACAATCCATTTTTACAAGATACGTCTACGGAGTTGCCTTCAAACAAGTTCTCATCAACAGCTGCGCCTACATTCCAAGCAACGCCAACTTTTAGTGCTCAGGATTTTTCTTCAGCAGTGGTGAGTGATGTGAATTCTGATCCGTTTGGGACGTTTTCGAGTAGTGAGCAAATGTTAAATGGCACCATAAATCAGAAGAATTTGTTGCACGAACAACAGTTATGGTTACAGAACCAAAACAAGATCATAGCTAAGCATATGTCTTAATTTTGCTAGTGTAAACTTGCATGCAAATTTTTTTCTTAAAGTTTTCCTTTTGCTTTTACTCTTCTTTTTGCTCTTGCACTTTTTTATATGTCATCGTTCAATCCGCTTTCTGCATTTTTCTGAGTTTGAACAGGAACAATACATTTGCCTGATAAAAAGTCAATGTCTGAAACTACTGTGCGAAGAGGAAAGCTACAAACGTTCACAAACTTTATTGGTAAGACATATTAAAGTATTCCATCTAAATTCTTAAATCTATTTGACTGAGCACGGAGTTTAAGAAAAAAGAGAAAACTTTTAAACTTGTGGCGTAAATTGAGACACATATATTTTGTGTGGTATAAATTATTGCATAAAGGTAAATTGTTTCCAAATATAGAAAGAGTTCATTCTTTTTGACACGGACTAAAAAAATATGTTCACATAAATTAAAACATAGGAAGTATTAGAAAAATTTAATTAATTATGTCTTTAAATAGGACTTGACCTGAATAATAGTTGAGATTCAAGTTTATCTTAGTGAGAGTGACCTCTAAAAGTCATAGAAAACTTAATATGTTTGGCACAATTAGTTTGCTAACTCCATTATACGCATCTGCTAGGCATTCTTGTTTAATTTCAAACAATTTGAACTCTGACTCAGCCCTTCTGGAAAAAGTTTCTGGCACTAGAAATAAAACTCCAACTCTAATAATTGTCAAAACCCCAGCAAAAACATGGGTCCTTTTGGACCAACCTAATCGCCCAACTTGAAGACATTCCAGCACAAAACTCATCACAATCAATTCAAAGGCTTGCAGTACTAACCACTAAGGTTAGCGCAGAGGTACCAAAAAATACAATATGCACAAAATATGGCATTTGTTAATTGATTGTATATTAATTACATCAGTAAACACCTTACCGGAATGGATCACAGGACAAAAAATTAGACCGCTTAGATCAAAATAGTATTCACACAAATATTCTAACATAAAATAAAATCTACCATGGAAGAGATTTATTGACAACAGCAAAAAGATGGGCGTCTAATTTCAACTGCAATAGGGGTCTATCAGTGCAAGTTAACTAACCCATATCTCTTACCCATGATCGAACACCAGAGTTGATTATAACTACGTACCAAAAAAAAAAAAAGAATGCAAATAGTTCATATTCTCCTGATTCGACTATGAAAAAGCATATCCTACCTCGTTTGTACGTTTTAGTTTTTTTCCCCTAAAGGGTGTGAATGAAAATAAAAAAGGCACCTCTTGCATTGCACCTCTTCATCTCACTCTTTCATAGTCTATGAATTTTGAAAATGAAAAAGGCACCTCTTGCATTGCACCTCTTCATCTCACTCTTTCATTGTCTATGAATTTAGAAGCTTAGCCTCATTTTTCATACACAAAAAATCTAACTTCTCCCCTCTTCTCGATATTGTTGCATTATTTTTTTTCCAAAAGAAAACGTAAGTATCAAGTGTGATTTGCTCTGTTGTTGAGTTCACTGAAACTCTGTACTTTCAGTACAGAATAGTTGTTTCATTCTATTATGGAAGGAATTAATCCAACAACCTTGGGCAACACTAAGAGAATTAAATTCTTTAAGACAACACAGTTTTCTATCGCACTCGGAATTCTTATTTTCTGTTTGTTTATTGAATTAATGTTTCTTTGCTTCTTTGATTTTTCGGTTACTGCTCCTATATTTCTCGCAGCCCCATTAGCATGCGTACAACGGAGCAACCAACCTTCTTCAACGCTTGGCAAGGCAACCTTAGGGTAAGTTGCTAAAACAAACGAAATGGGAGGATCGTAACATATCTTTCAAATTAAGAAACAAAAAATTCTACATTCCTTCTTTATACTCACCTATCTCTCGATTGAATAGTTGACCCAACATTTCTTATATGAAGAAACCCTCTATATGGATCAGAATCTGCCCCATAATATTTAAGATGAGATTGCACTAAAGGAAGAATTCTCGAGTCATCATTAGTCAAGGTGGACCAGGAATTAAAAAAACTCATAGCCGGAGAGTCGATAAGGACGTGGTCAAGATGTCGATAACGGTCGAGGTCGAGCATCGCTAATGAAGCTGTAATAGCTAGTTTTCGAAATAAGATATTAAAGGGAATATTCTAGTGAATATTTCATACACTTGTACTATTAGGTTTTATTAGAAATATGTCTCATATAAATAGAAAAAAGGATCAGATGTGAGGCACGTGAGATTCATCTGTAAGAACAAACTTTTGGCTAAATA